AATAGAACTTTCCTTGTAATATTAGTTCTTGCCACCTGGGACACATCCAACACCTTGTCATATCCAACAACTTGTCTAACTACAGCAGTAAGGAAGCTAGGGACCTATGGCAGGCACTCAAGCTTCAACTGCCAACCTAACTCAAAAACCTTCATCAAATGGAATTGAAGAAATTCCCCTTTGACCTCATTCTTAACCTGAGTAAACCCTGTATATCCTCTAGTTGTCTACCTAAATGTCTAAAGAACTCTCTAATCTGCCTTGCAACTAAAATATTGTATTTTTTTTTTAAAAAAGCCAGACATGGGTGGCTCACGGCTGTAATCCTAACTACTCAGGATGTTGAGATCTGAGGATCACAGTTCAAAGCCAACCCGGGCAAGAAAATCTGTGAGACTCTTATTTCCAATTAACCACCAGAAAACCGGAAGTGGCACTGGGGCAGAGTGTTCACCTTGAGCTGAATAGCTCAGGGACAGCACCCAGGCCCAGAGTTCAAGCCCCAAGACCAAAACTAGTATGATCTTTTACCTTTTCTTCCTTATTAAATTTGGAATCACACATTTGTGTGTTTTGATAATCTAATGCCCACTACTGGTCCCCAAAGAACTATGACTCTTTGTTCTATAATTTTTATTTTTTTTATTGTGAAAATACTATACAGAGGGGTTACAATTACATGGGCAAGATAATGAGAACTATGACTCTTGTTATGGGCTACTGTCCAGTGCCTGGCACACAGGAAGTACTCAAGAAATATCTGTTGAATTAGTGATTTAATGAAGGTCCTGTCCCCTATTTTGCTAAGGTAGTTTACAGGAATCTTAGCTACAGCAATCATTACAACAAAAGGTAACTTTCAGGAGGAAAAAAAAATTGTTAAATAGAATGTAATACATAAGAAGTAACAGCTGGGCTGGGAAGGTGGCTCGGTGGTAGAGGGCTTGTCTTGCATGCATGAGGCCCTGGGTTCAATTCTTCAGGACCACATACGCCGAAAATGGCACTGTGGCTCAAGTGGTAGAGCACTAGCCTTGAGATGAAAAGTTGAGGGTCAGTGCCCAGGCCCAAAGTTCAGGCCCCATGACCAACAAAAAACAAAACAAAACAAACAACAAAAAAGAAGTAATAGCTGAATACAACAGTGCAAAAAAAACATAAATTTCTACCTAACATTGACATACAGTATTTGCTATGTACCAAACACTACTCTAAATTCTCTATATATTAACTCATTTAATCCTCTTAACATCCCTACGAAAAAGGTATGGTTGAGCTGGGAAGGTGGCTCAGTGGTAGAGTCCTTGCCCTGCATGCATGAGGCCCTGGGTTTGATTCTTCAGCACCACATAAGCAAAAAGAAAAAAGCCGGAAGTGGTGCTGTGGCACAAGTGGTAGAGCACTAGCCTTGAGCTGAAGAGCTGAGGGACAGCGCCCAGTCCCAGAGTTCAGGCCCCATGACCAAAAAAAAAGAAAAAGGTATGGTTGGATTTTTTTTTTTAATCCTAATTTCACACAAAAGGAAACCAAGGTTTGGAGACATTAAAGGAAATAAAATAAAAAATAATCTTGCCCCAAATCGCAGAGATACTAAATAGTGAAGGCAGATTCCAAATCCAGACCTTTTATAGAGTCCCAGTACTTGCTGTGTTTCACACAGTTGTAGCAACAAATTGCCACAAACACAGTGCTGAAAACAACAGAAACTTAGCCAGCTGTAGTGACTCCAGCTTGTAATCTCAACTACAGCATAATGGCTGCGTGCAATGACATGCACGTGTCATCCACAGCAACATGTAAAGCACCAGTAGGAGGATCACAATCCAGGCCTGTTTGGGTATAAAAAGCGAACCTATCTCAAAAATGACCAATGCAAAAAGGAGCTTCAGGCATGACTCAAATGTCTGTAGAGTTTCTGCCTCGCAAGCAGGAATCTCCAGTGCCACTGAAAAATTAAAAATACATACTCATGTGCAGTTCTGGAGAGCAAAAGTCTGAAATCACATTATTAGCAGGGCAATGCTTCTTCCAAAAGCTCTAAAAAAATTCTTCTTTCTTCTTTTAGCTACTGGTGGCTTCTGGCATTCCTTGATTTGCAGGAGAATAACTTTAAATAGTCCGCCTCCATTTTCAATGGCCTTTCTGTGACTGTGTCTTCTCCCTTCATGTCTCTTGGAAGGACATTTCATGTTAGACTTAGGAAGGATATCATCTCAAGATTTTTATCTTACTCCCATCTTTAAACACCCTATGTCGAAAATGGTGATATGTCTTGGAGCTTGGTAAGAGCAAAGAAAGATCTTTTTTGCTGGGGTCATGTCCAGTTTCCCACTTCTAACGGCTTCACTAAGCTATAATTTGTATATTATACAACTTGTCCACTTAAGATATATTATTTGATGGCTTTAACGACAGTCACAAGTATGTGCAACTATCACCAGGGCCAATTTTTACCCTTTTCAAAAGATATCCATGAACTATTACTTCTCTATACCTTCCTCCATCTCCTCCTCCTCCACATGAAGCAGCTAATATGCCTTCCATCTCTGCAAATTTCCTTATTACAGAAATGGAACTCCAGAACATATTTTCTTCCATTGAGCCTGTTTTCTAAGAGTTCATCTATGGTGCAGCAAATATCAGCACTTCATTTTTTTCATTATAAATAATATTCTAATGTATGCATACATTTTGTTTATCCACTAACATACAATTGAGTTGTTTCCACCTTTTGGCTATTATGAATAATACTGGTATACAGAACTTGCTGTGTGGATACATGTTTTACTTCTCTTGGGTATATATCTAGGAGTTCAATTGCTAGACATATCTCTATACTTAATTACTTGAGAAACTCCAAATCTCTTCAAAAGTGACATTCTACACCATACCAGCAGTGTATTATGGGTTCTAGTTTCTTCCCAAGTCCATATAAAATCATATAGTCATCATAATGTATGTATCTCATGGCTATGACTATACTTTCTCATAAAGTAGCCTCCCTTCGACCTACTAAAATTTATACAGAAGAAGAATTTTGTTGGCGAACAAAGGTAAAAGAGGAAGGTAAGTTGAGAGTATATGAGGTTCTACAGGCAGAGGATCAGAAAGTTCTAGAGATCTGAGGAAAATCAGAAAAGATTTGCAAAACAGTCATTTCAGCTATTCCAGAAGTAAGATGAAAGTGCTACTGACATGGAGAGAAGAGTAAAAGCATTAACAACAATTTAAAAGGCCATAAGCTCCTCTTAAAGTCCAAGTAGACATGATTCAATTTCACTTTTTAGTTAAATTCTATTTTTACTTATATTTCATTATCTTTAAGTAGTTGTACAAAGGAGTTATTGTTCATACATCAGTTTTTAAGTACAATGCATCTTGAGCAAGATTACACTTTTCGGGCTGGGAAGGTGGCTCAGTGGTAGAACGCTTGCCTTGCATGCATGAGGCCCCGGGTTCGATTCCTCAGCACCACATAAGCAGGAAAAAAAGAAAGCCGGAAGTGGCGTTGTGGCTCAAGTGGTAGAGCGCTAGCCTTGAGCTGAAGAGCTGAGGGACAGCACCCAGGCCCAGAGTACAGGCCTCACAACCAGACCCAAAAAAAAAAGAGACTAACACTGTTACTCTTGCATATATGTGTGTATATATGTACCAGTTTACAGTGACATAAAATAGATGTGCATCCAAAAGCAGTTACCTGCTTTTGGATAAACAATTGACTCATCCTATAAACTTAAAATGCTCTACTGTATCTGAGGATGACAAAAAGAAAAATCACCTTTCCCAAATTCTCTAGCAAAATAAGTGATTTATTTTTTCCAGCAAAACTAAGTCCCTAAGTTGTTTCAGGTCAACTCTAGGTCTGCACCACTGAGAATAAAGTCTAAGTTTCCACAAACTATATTGTCATAAAAGTTTCAAAATACCCTCACACATTTCAAGATTATATTCACATTATCACACAACATTTCTGCCATTTACAGATGGCATCCAAGCTATGGCAGGAAAGAAGATACAGGATCCTGAGGCCTTCCAAAGACCCCTAAGTTACCTAAATCTGCTTTTCACCTAGGCATTGCGTTTCTCATTGTATTTACTTTCAAGTCCATTATCCAGAAGTTGGATATTTAATTCTATTTTCTCTCACATTACTATGTATTTCTCAGGAAGTTTTTAGTATTCTCCTAGTTCTAGGATATTTCACCCTTAATTGTCATTCTACAACTTGTAAAAAATTTTCCTTCATATCTAAGAAAAACAAAACTCAAAATTCAGATACTAATACTGAGCTTGTCATTTGAGTTACCATAAAGTTTAACATATCCAAATACAATAGCAGATGCTACCATAAGACATGATTCTAATCCCAAAATCCTTATAGCATAAATAATCACCTAAAAGCAACACACTAATTCAAACTTCTCATTATGTTTGTAGATTGTCTCTTGGTTTATGACTAATAACTAATATGTATTTACACAGTGCTGTTATACAATATTTACAAAGTCATTCACATATATTCTCTCATTTGAGTTTCACCATCTAATAACATAAGTTGTCATCATTCATGTATTACAGATGAGAACGTAGCTGACGTAAAATAACTTCCCTTAATTAAGACACCATGATCTGGGAATCAAGCTAAGCTTTCTATCTCTAAACCTACTCTTGTTCCAAGACAACAGTGTCTTAACATGGGTGGCTACTTCTACCAAACCAACTCTTTAACAGCACAAACAACAAACAAACAAATGGAGCAAAGTAAGGTTCCCAGCTCAAACTTGGGAAATACTCCAGATAACCTGTTAAAAAGCAGACCCCTTCCTGGTAACTAATGGAAGCACTCCTTTGTTGTACATCTCAATATTGAATTAATGGCAACACAAATTTTTTTTAAGTTTACAATGAATTAAGTTCACAACTCCACTAAGTATACTTCCAAGAAGCTCCCATATTTTTAAATATCAAAATCTAAAATAAATCTAAAGAAAAGTCCATACCTGTTCACCTGCCTCTTGAAATTCTTTGCATGCCTCAGGGAATACATCATAAACGATGAGTGGATAGCCATGTTTCATGAGATTTTTTGCCATTGGATTTCCCATGTTGCCCAGTCCAATGAATCCAACTGGAGTCTTGGAAGCCATTGACCTAGAACACACTGATTTCAATATATTACTTTCAATAGGTGTAGATAACATTTTTTATTGTAAATAGTCTTTTAATATTAACGGACCTATTATTTAATATTTCCTATTAAAATATTGAAGGCTAGTTTTATACTAATAGCCAACTGCATTTAAACATAAAAATGTGCAAGTATATTAAATTCAAATTATTTCTCCAGGAAATATTCACAAAATTTTAAATAATCTCTCCTACTTGCTACCTCTACAGTGTTCCTTTCTCAATTTTAACAATAAACTTAATAATTATCATTTATAAAATGCTTATGAGTTACCTATTATGTTAAGTATTTAGAGTCTTCCTGCCTATGTTATCTGTTTTAATAATATATACAAAAAGAATGAATGACCTTTATCCTGAATAGGGCCCGAGAATGTGAAAATTTTCTACCTTCCTACTCCCAGAATTACAGAAACCATCCCTTCCAATGGCATGAAAAGAAATCCTGGTCTGGGGGTATAGTTTAGTGGCTCAAAATGTGCCTAGAATGTGAAAGGCCCTGGGTTCAACCCCCAGCACCAAATAAATAAATAAAATGTTAAACCCAGGAAAATGTATTTCAACCACAGTTAGTCCTGTGGGTGGGAAAAAGAATGATCTGGTAAGCTTTAAATGGCAAAGGCAATAGTCTCAAAACTTGATCTTTTACCTTCAGAAAAGAGAAGTTAGCAAGGAAAGAAGTAGAAATGAAAGAAGAAAGTTGAAACTGTATATAGTTTATTTTACTTATCCTTTTTTTCTTACATAAAAGGCTTTATGAAATCACCTTGAGAAAACACAACCAAGTAATGATTTGTGAATAAGAAAGCTTTACAACAGCATGAAAGTAACATAAAATACAATCTCTCAGATTTTAGAACTTCAACAAATACCACTCAACAAATATTCATGAAATACAAATATGCATGAAATACTGATAAGAGTTCAGAGAAAGACAGCAAGATATGATACCTGCCATTGAAAAGCTCACAATCTCTTGAAAAAAAGAGAAATACTTCTACTTGCCCTTGCATTTGGTGCATATTCTTCCTTTCTCTTTCTAGGATTCCAGTTTTAAAACTATATAATGCTGAAAAGGCTATTTTGAGGGTTAGGATATAGGGGTTAGAGATTGATTGAAATATAGTGTAAATATGTCCAGAGATGAAACAATGAAAATCACCTCCCCCTGTAAAACTAACAAACAAAATTTTTAAAAATTGTGTAGTGTAATAACAAATCAGTCACCCTTGTTTTAAGTTTCAGATCCTCTCAAATGACTGACCCCTATTCTTCCTGGAGCTTAATCTTAATATAAGATTTCATAAAATCAAGCTATTTAAACCTCTAATGCTTAAGAGCGTCTTACTGGGTTAGAAGCATTATTAATTCCTTTTAATTTCATGGCTGGCTCTTCCACTACCATTAAATATGAGTGCCATTCTTGTGCAACATTATAATATCATGTTAAGTTTAACACACACTTGGTTTAACTTTCTGGCCCACGGGGGTTCCATGTCAGAAACAACACCTAATTGAAATTTTATTTTGAAATTAAACAGAATGAGATGTACATCTGGTTAGAAAACTCTAAGGCTTTTTAGAAAATTAACAAGAATAGTCTGAAAGAAAATGTAGCATGATTATGCCAGACCACTACGTTAACACTGGAAAAATAAAGATATATATATATATATATATACATATATATATATATATATATTATTTATTTTTTTTTTTTTGCCAGACAGGGCCTGGGCACTGTCCCTGAGTTTCTTTTGCTCAAGGCTAGCACTCTACCACTTGAACCCACAGCACAACTTCTGTTTATGTAGTATTGAGGAATCAAACCTAAGGCTTCATGTATGCTAGGCAAGCACTCTATCGCTAAGCCACATTCCCAGCCCTGGAATGATATAATTTAACAATCTAAATCCATAAGAAACCAGGAAGACTATATTTTAAAGGCAGTTAATTTAACAAGCACTATTCTAGGTTCGACATGTAACAAGTATGACAAGGGAGAACTATAATTCATTCACATACTTAGCAAGAATTAAGCAACAATCATTTATATGTAACCATGCCAGAGGCATGAATGACACACACTTTAACCTCTAAAATCTAAGAGGACATAAAGTACACAAAAATACTAACCGACAGCTCACACCTGTAATCCTAGCTATTCAGAAAGGTGAGATCTGAGGATTGTAGTTCAAACTAACCCAGGCAGGAAAGGCTGTGAGACTCTTATCTCCAATAAACCACTCAGAAAACTGGAAGTGGTGCTGTGGCTCAAGTGGTACAGTGCTAGCCTTGAGCTAAAGAGCTCAGGAACAGCACCCAGGCCCAGAGTTCAAGCCCTATGACTGACAAAAAAAAAAGTTTCAAATGGCAATAAATAAATAAATAAAGGAACTCTACAGAGAAAATGAAACATGAGTATATTCAAGCAACTAGAAAAGAAACAGTGATAGTATTTATTACAACACCCACTAATAAACAGTTTAAAGGGAATATTGTTATATGTCATCAAGTCCATCTTTCAGTTGGAAACCCTGACACATTTGTAATTTTAAGTAAACTGACGAAAACTTTCTAAAATTATAGCACCAATATTCAAATCCAACTAATGTGATTGTATTTTTCACTTGTAACCACACAGTCCCTCCATTCTTCAAACAACACACCCAAAGAAACAACAGACAAAACAGCAGCTAAGACTAGACTAAATAACATGAGCACAATATGGAAGGCTAGAAAACATACTAAGCAAATTGATGGTATTTTACGTGCAAAAGGTAAATACTGCAGGGTTGGGCAAAGAAATAACAAAATTAGACATATGCTTTAGAAACACAATAGTGTATAGATTAAAATAGATGAAAGAGCCTGATGCCTGCAGGAAGATCAATATAAAAGTGATAGTCATACTACGGGTCATAATCCAGGCTGTTAAAACAAACATACCATAGACTAGATGAATTAAACAATAATTTATTTCTCATTAATTCTGGAGGCCTAGAAATCCAAAATGAAGGTATTCAATATGTCAGCAGATTCCAAGTCTTTCTAGTATACAGTTAGCCCTTTTCTCACTGCATCCTCAAGAGAGAAGACATGTTCTTATGTCTCTTCTTACAGGGACATTGATTCTACTCATGAGGGCTCTACCCTATAACCTAATTCTCAGAGGTCTCATCTACTAATTGTATCACATGGGAGGTTAGGATTTCAATATATCAACTTTGGATGGACAAAACAGTCCTTAACAAAGTTAAGTTAAAGGATAGAAATAGAAGAAACAAGTATGAAAAATTAAAAGCATGAAAGAATGAAAAATAGATTGGATTATGGGCTAAAATAAGGAAAAGATAAAAAGTGGCACCAAGAGTAATATTAATAGGAGACGTGGTTCAGTTTTAAATAGGGTAAACTGATAATGAACTGAAAAATGTCCAACAAACTGTTAGAAATATTAAGAACAAGCCAAGCACCGGTGGCTCACACCTGTAACCCTAGCTACTCAGGAGGCTGAGATCTGAGGATCACAGTTCAAAGCCAGCCCAGGCAGGAAAGTTCATGAGATTCTTATCTCCAATGAACCACCGGAAAACTGGAAGTGACACTATGACTCAAGTGATAGAGAGCTAGCCTTGAGCTGAAGAGCTGAGGGACAGCGCTCAGGACCAGTTCAAGCCCTACCACCTATACAAAAAAAGAAAAAAAAGAAATATTAAGACTAAGTCTTCAAGGTCAAGAGGAGAAATCATCTGTTGTTGTTGTTACTTCTTACTCTCTCTGTTTTTTTCTCCCTACGAGTTGTACAGTTCATTTTCAACATAGTGTCCAGAAAGTACCATTGCTATATTTGTTCACCCTTAGTCCCTAAATTTCTATGCTTCCCCCTTACACTCCCAAAGATATCAAAACAGACAAAAAGAATAAAAAGAAGAGAAAAACAGAAAAAAAGAAACTTGTTTTATTTCCTAAAGTTCTTTTGATAAATACTCTTTTGTATGATCAGAGGAAACCATTTGTTTTTAAGTAACAGTTGAATTTATAGCCACTCATAAAATCAAATGAGAAAAAAAGAGAATAAAGCCCAAAAGTTGAACCTCTCTGAAGTCCAATGGAATGAGTATATATAGAAGTCAGAGAAAAAAAATGAAACCAACCCTGAAATTACACAGAAATTAGATTTAGAAGTAAAAAGTATTAAAAACTGTTGTCCATAACATTCCAAAAGAAGAGATACTAAAGATATTTTTAGCCCAAATGAATTTCTTGAGATAAATTCTACATGCAAAATAAAAATATCTTGTAAGATTAACAATATAAAAGACACTGAAGGCCAGGCACAGTGGCTCATGCCTATAATTCTAGCTACTCAGGAGGCTGAGCTCTAAGGATCACAGTTCAAAAACAGCCTGGGCAGGAAAGTCTGTGAGATTCTTATCTCCAATACACTACCAGAAAACCAGAAGTGGAGCTGTGGCTCAAGTGGTAGAGTACTTGGTTTGAGTTGAAGAGCTAAAGCCCCATGACCAACCAAAAAAAAAAAAAAAGACACTGAAGAAAAGAACAATAATCTTAGTGGCAAAGAAATTATTCAAAACAAAGAAAATTTAGAAATGAAAAGAGCATGATAAGCTATGAGACAGCTCCTGCTAGCCAAATACTATGTAACTAGAGTCCTGAAATGAGAGTAATAAAGACAGAAAAAATAATTACATAAAAAAACTTATGGTCAAATTTTTTCTAAACATGAAAACTATAAACCCCATGTATTCTTCCAACAACCTCAATAAATCCCAATAAACAAATAAAGAAAATTATACTAGGGCTGGGAATGTGGCTTAGTGGTAGACTGCTTGCCTAGCTAGCATGCATGAAGCCCTGGGTTCAATTCCTCAGTATCACATATACAGAAAGGCCAGAAGTGGCCCTGTGGCTTAAGGGGTACAGTGCTAGCATTGAGCAAAAGAAGCTCAA